AATAATAATTTTTAAAAATTATATCATACTGATTACAAAACTATTCGGAACATTCTGGTCTTTTTCTTTCTAAACCTGTAGTTAAAAAGGTACAACGAGGTAAGGAAAAAATTTGAATATAAGTTGGCAAACAAAATAACATATATGAAACATAGCGTAATAATTGTTTTAATGAGATGTGTGTTGTGTTGTGTTGTGTGTGTTGTGCATGTTGCGTATGTGTTGTGTGCTGTGTGTTGAATAATGAAATAAATAATTTATATTTAAGTATAAAAGTAAACAACACACAGCTCACTCTATAGGTCGAAGATGGAACTATTCACGTTATTTCATTTTTAAATAAAGAACGAAATATTCTGAAGTTAGTGAAGTGAATATGAAAAAGCATTTCGAAGCCTTGGCTCGTCATTGGGAAATCCTTTCCAGGGAAGGTAAATTAAATTGACGAAATCGCTGTGAAGTTTCACCGCTGATACGCCAACCCTTCGCAATTCCATTCAAATATTCAGATGAATAACTGTAGAAATAAATCGACCTTTATTTAAAAAAGAGATAGCGCGTTGAATTCCTCGAAAACCAAATAGAGATCTAGATGATGCAGATCCTTTAAATTGTATGTACATATACAGTAGAACCTCTCTTTAGCGGACACCTCTCTACAAAGGACAGTTTTAATTTGCAAAATTACCATTTTTACAATTTAGCAACTCTCCGGTAAGAGAACACCCCTCCCTAAATGACAGTTTGGCTCTGAAATTAGGAGTCCTTTACAGAGAGGTTCTACTGTACAAGTTTCCAAGTAGGACGCCAAGTTTTACATTAGGTGAGACAATATAAAATGGTCGTGTAACTCAAGTTTGCTGGCATGTGCCGTCTATCAGGATTATTATCAATTAAACAATGTTTTTACTAAATAATTCGCCAAAACATTTTATACAGATGTATAATACTGTATATGAATAAGAAATATATATAACATATCTAACTAGAGCATAAAGGTATACAAATCGGCTTTAATATTTTAACAACTCAAATTTCTAATCGGGAATTTTTAATAAATATGTCATTTTCCTGCATCGATATTTCAGTCACATTTTCCCCACTTTCAAGACACACAAAAAATCTGAGTTAATTACATATCTACCACAAGACAGTAATTCACGAGTATTAGTTTTAAAGAGAAAAAATCAATTAAATCTAGTAAAAATAACTAAGTGAGATAAGACTATAGAAGTAATTCCCATCCTCTTGTCATATTTTTCTAATTTTAAAATTTCGAACAATTCTTGTTAATTATTTTCAGTAAAAAAAACCCTTGCAGGATATCCTTTCATGGATTAAAAAAAAATAGTTACTTTCCTAAAAAATTAACAAATTTTAAAATTTCAACAAGATAACCCGGCGATAGCCTTTTGTCTAACAATGTTTTCTCATTTTTTAAAATTTAAGAAACTTTCTTTTTTAAATTTTGATTTTCTTCTTATTAGCAGGTTTTAAATAAAATATTAAAAAAGGTTTTTAAAGGACTTTCGAGAGAGACAATAATTTTAATAAAATAATGGAAGTGTTGTTGATGTTTCTTAAGAAGTACATACGTATATATATATATATACAAGGGAGTATTTATAAATATCTGGCCCATAATATCTGGACCATCTATTATAAACTGGCCATATTAAAGCTATATTCACAATGTAAAGTGTATTACGATGCATTAGCGCCATCTGTTATGAATATATCATAAATTATATATTCATAATTGTAGGTAATTCTGCTGTCCTCAAAGCTTATATCCATTGTTCATCTAAAATACCAATTCCAAGAGTCTAGCAACAGTATCACTATAAAGGAAGATCGAAAAATTCAATATAACAGCGATATGGTAGATTAAACTGGCGAAACCGCTGGGAGGGTTCACCACTGATGAGCCAAGCCTTCCCATTAATTTTTCCATAGCAGTAAGGGCAGTAGAAATGGTTTTACTTTTAAAAAGAATCATACGCGTCTATAATAGTTTCGAATGTAAATTGTGTTATTTAATTCACAACGCGATTATATCTGCACTTTAGCGGAGGAGTGGTTTAAAATATACATATCTGTGTGTTTTCCTGAAGTAAAACATTGCTTTAATGGCCCCAATTGTTGCAAAAGTCCAATCCCAACAATGAGTGCAAGAAAGGGTATCTCTAACACACTTGTAAGTTTAAAGTCGGATTGCCTTTTACATATATAGACATTTAGTTTACTAACAGGGAAATTGATAACAACCCACCATGATTATCATGCTCTGTGCCATGTTTTCTTGTGATAAGTAAAAGAAAAACGATCTGAGCAGTTTTACACCGACCTTCTAATTGATACATTTAAATATGAAGTTTTGGTTTTGTCATTCAAAAGGTCTCTAACGGAAGCAATTACTTTATTTAATAGTTCTTTTCCCTCGAATATTTATAATATAAGGACTCTTCGCTAGGAGCTAGGTCTGGGGAATAAGGGAAACCTGCATGCGTCGATTTCAGAGGTCGAAATATGAAACGTAGATAGCGAGAAAAGTGCAGGCATATCGGACCGTTATATTCCAACAATGTCTTTTAAAATATCCGTTTTTGTTTTAAGACTGGAGAGCTAATAATTAAAGAAATGATCCCTTGCATCAATATTGAGGTGAAATAATCAGGCTTCCAGGGAAAAAATTATTTTTGAAAAATTTAATTTACATTTATAGCTTTCGGGCATGGAAGATTTCCTACAGGAGAAAATACACAATGCAATATAAATCATATTGTATCGTATTTTCTCCTTTAGAAGGGCTTCCATGTCTGAAAGGAAGAGGTGTAAATTATTTTTTTCAAAAAATAAACTTATCTCTGGTAGCTTGATATTTCACCTAAATGCTAGCTTATGTTTATGCGTTGTATAATAATGGAAATAATTATTTTTGCTTATCCCTAGTACATGTGGTGTAGGCCATGATAATCATGGTGGGTAGAAGTTGGCGACTGCTTTTACTGTAAGTGCACCACATGTCTATACATGTGAAAAGCAGTTCGACTAGGCACTTACAAATATGCGAGAGTCCCGTTTGGTTACTTGCACTCGCTGGTGGGATTAGACTTTTCCAAGAATCGGGGCCATTGGATCATTTTTCTTATCAGAAAAAAAGTAACCAATGCGGGATTCGATCCCGGGTCGTATGAAAATAAATGAAGGCTCTAATTATGGTCAAATATTTTATTTTATTAAATATCAATAATTTGATAATCAGGGCAGGCATATTTATGACACTACACTTTGAATGTTTTAGAAATATATAAAAGAAAGGGAGAGAATGGTGCAACGCTAAATATTTATCTGAAAGTTGAAATTATTTCTATCATCATCTATCCGTATATATAAATATACTCGTTTTGAAAATAGAGCAATCCATACTTAATTCATTAGATAATAAAAGGCATATATTGGATTTAATAAAATATTCATTTTGCCAATATTTCGGCTGGGTGAACGCCAACCTTTATCAAGGCATTACATTTATTACAGTATACAAAAATGTAATGCCTTGATAAAGGTTGGCGTTCAGCCAGCCGAAATATTGGCAAAATAAATATTTTATTAAATCCAATATATGCCTTTATTATCTAATAAATATACTCGTAATAAAAAGGGAATTTCCCGACCGCTCACATGAGCCTTTTAGGCGCATATACTGGAATTGAAATAAACTAAACGTTGATTTTGGGCAATCCATAATATTTAGCCTAGTGGACATGGCACCTGCCCGGTAAGCAGAAGGTTGTGGGTTCGATTCCCGCCCCTGGACACTTTTATTTTTCCGTTCGTCATTACTCTTCATAATTCATCCTTTCATACCTCATCTAAAGGGTTAGAAATAGTCGATATTTCACCTTAAAATAAATTTTATTTTGTCGTTTAAAAGAAACTCATGCGGTGAAACTTCAAGTATCGTTTTACAATTACATGCCGCTGTGTATTATATTGTATTATAAGTTGCTTTATGTATCATTTACGAACGGAAAAATACGTCCAGGGTAGCCTAGTGGACATGGCACCTGCCCGGTAAGCAGAAGGTTGTGGGTTCGATTCCCGCCCCTGGACACTTTTATTTTTCCGTTCGTCATTACTCTTCATAATTCATCCTTTCATACCTCATCTAAAGGGTTAGAAATAGTCGATATTTCACCTTAAAATAAATTTTATTTTGTCGTTTAAAAGAAACTCATGCGGTGAAACTTCAAGTATCGTTTTACAATTACATGCCGCTGTGTATTATATTGTATTATAAGTTGCTTTATGTATCATTTACGAACGGAAAAATACGTCCAGGGTAGCCTAGTGGACATGGCACCTGCCCGGTAAGCAGAAGGTTGTGGGTTCGATTCCCGCCCCTGGACACTTTTATTTTTCCGTTCGTCATTACTCTTCATAATTCATCCTTTCATACCTCATCTAAAGGGTTAGAAATAGTCGATATTTCACCTTAAAATAAATTTTAATTTGTCGTTTAAAAGAAACTCATGCGGTGAAACTTCAAGTATCGTTTTACATTTACTTGATAAATAAAAAGAAAATACAATCACTACGCGTTTTGGGCTGTTGGCCCTCGTCAGCATGGTGCAGGCTGTACATCGACATGTTTTTCTAGAGGCTTTCTGAAAAATCAAGAGATGGGTAGTTTTATATCAAGCGCTATATTTTTGTGCATATATATATATATAAAGAAGGCATTTCCTGACCACGAGTACATGTGCTTTTTAGATGGCAGAGCGCCATCTAGTTGAGCAAAAATAAACTAAACGTTTATTTAGCTTGCTCTGTGATATTTGGCCAACCCAATATCCTGATAAATCAAGAAAAGCCATCCACGAACGCCGTTCGCGCTCGTCAGCGTGGAGTAGGCTGTAACCACTGCGACCAAAAAGCTCTGCCATCTAAAAAGCACATGTACTCGTGTTCAGGAAATGCCTTCTTTATTTTTATTATCAACATCTGACCCACTTATCTTTTATTTTTTTTATTGTTTTTCCTTGTGTTTAGCGTATTTACGCAAATTTGGCCTTAAATACCCATTTCTTGGTTTCTCAAAAAGCCATTGGGACCAAAATTATTTTTGGTCGCAGTGGTTACAGCCTACTCCACGCTGACGAGCGCCAGCAGCGCGAAACGCGTTCGTGGATGGCTTTTCTTGATTTATCAGGAAATTGGGTTGGCCAAATATTATGGAGCAAGCTAAATAAACGTTTAGTTTATTTTTGCACCACTTGATGGCGCTGCCATCTAAAAAGCACATGTGCTCGTGGTCAGGAAATGCCTTCTTTATTTTTAATATCAACACCTGACCCACTTATCTTTTTTTTTCTATTGTTTTTTCATATATATAAATATAAATTAATTCATAAAAACTTCTCCTTAAACACCAAGAAAATTCAATCACTTACGCGTTTCATGTTATTAGCCTTGTCATTGTGGTGGAGGCTCTCAACTAACTAACAAATAAATTACACAGGTCTACAAAAAAAACTTTTTTTTTTTAAACAAGAGAACATGATGGTGTTTCTAGTGTAACTTTTCATGCTGAACTCAAAAATCTAATCAGAAATTTCCCATCACCCATGGTTTTTGCCTGATGGTCTTTTTTTAGTATTGGGATAAATACAGTAATAAATGCAACCAATGTTACGTAAGCATTTTTTAAGTTACATCATTAACTAAGCTAGCGCTTTATTTTTGACAAGAAGAGTTGGTGTGTGGAGTCAAAAGATTTATTTTATTTGTTATTAATTAAATTTTGCTCTTTAAGAATCATAAATATTAATTTAAATAACAAATTATTGAAATTTTAATTGAATATATATATAATTTATTATTATATAATATTATAATCTGTTTTGCTTCCAACTCAAAAATAACGACAAGCTCTGTAATGCTATTTGCTCATTAACAGTTTTAATATATATATTTAAATTCAACCTAACACGATTTGTTTAATAGATTTGCAGCAGAAGTGACAGGTAAATTTGAAGTGATTAGTTTATTCTTCTCTATCGATTTGCTTTTATAAATCGTGTGCACTAGACTGTGTCGATATGCCGAGGCGTTGCATTAATATTCCTGATATTTTCTGTTATATTTGTGGGGAATTAACTTTCAAAGTTCAAAGGCGAAACTTTACACCGCTCATCAAAAAGTGCTATGAACTTTATTTTGGCTTTAAAGTCGGTGACCAAGATAAGACTTGGGCTCCTCACCATTGTTGTGTAATTTGTGTTCGACATCTTACAGGGTGGATTAAAGGTGAACGTCATATGCCTTTTGCGGTTCCAATGATATGGAGGGAACCTAAAGACCTTTCTGCAGACTGTTATTTTTGTTTGACAAAGACTACAGGTATTAAATCCAAATCAAGACATACAGTTGAATATCCAGATTTGCCTTCTGCTATGAGACCGGTTCCTCATAGTGATATTTTACCTGTTCCACAGCCTCCTGAAAATGTAATATTCAGATAGACGAGAGCAACAGTGGGATGACACAAATTTTGAAGCAGGTGCTTTATTTGAACCTCATTTATTAACCCAAGGAGATTTGAACGACCTCGTACGTGATTTAGATTTATCCAAAAAACAGAGTGAACTTTTAGGCTCTAGGTTAAAAGGCTGGAATCTGCTGCATAAAGGAACAAAAGTATGCTTTTTTCGCAAGCGTCAAGATGAATTTCAAGACTTCTATTCACAAGAGAATGATTTAGTATATTGCAATGATGTTGTTAGTCTAATGGAAGCGCTTGGTCATGACCATGATACAGAAGAGTGGCGTTTATTCATTGATTCTTCAAAAATTAGTATGAAAGCTGTTCTCCTTCACAATATAAATAAGTTCCCATCAGTGCCAATAGCACATGCATCCAACATGAAAGAGACTTACGAAAACATGAAACTGCTTTTGAAAAAGATAAAATATGAAAGATACGGTTGGAAAATATGCAGCGATTTGAAAGTCGTTGCTCTCTTGCGTGGATTACAGCTTGGATATACAAAAATTTGTTGTTTTCTGTGTGAGTGGGATAGCAGAGATAGGGAAAGGCATTACATTAAAAAAATCTGGCCAAACCGTAAAATCTTTACTCCAGGATATAAAAATATTGCAAATCTACCCCTGATCGATTCAGAAAATATTTACTTACCACCATTACATATTAAACTGGGATTAATGAAGAACTTTGTCAAGGCAATGGATCGAAATGCCAGTGGATTTGCCTACCTAAAACAAATAATTTCTAGTATAGGTGAAGCGAAGATTAAAGAAGGCATTTTCGTTGGACCTCAGATTCGAGAATTGCAGCAGGATGGAAATTTTCAAAATAGTTTGAATGAAGTTGAAGCAGCAGCATGGAATTCCTTTAGAAACGTTTGCAAAAACTTCTTAGGAAGTGTCAAGGTTGAAAATTACCGAGACATAGTTAATGATCTGTTGCTTTCCTACAAGGCACTGGGAGGTAACATGTCCCTCAAGATCCATTTCCTGCATTCACATCTAGATTTCTTTCCAGACAATCTTGGCGCAGTTAGCGATGAGCATGGTGAGAGGTTTCATCAAGATATATCAAGCATGGAGAAGCGGTACCAAGGTAAATGGAGTCCCGCTATGCTTGCCGACTACTGCTGGACACTCAAGAGGGATCTACCACAAGCAAAGTATAGAAGAAAATCCACTGTCACTGCTTTTCAATAAATAAATATGTTTCGTTCATATATGCCTATATATTAACAATATTTCCAAATTTCAAGTAGGTGTATCTCAGAAATATTGCGTAATAGAAAAAAACTAATGGTATACTTGGATTCAGGACATGTAGATAAGATGCTATTTCTTCGTGAACAAAGAAAAATATTTTTTGATAAACCAGTGTAATGTAATAAGTGTTATGCAAAACTGCTTACGTAACATTGTTTGCATTTTTTACTGTATTTATCCCAATACTAAAAAAAGACCGTCACGCAAAAACCATAGGTGATGGGAAATTTCTGATTAGAATTTTGAGTTCAGCATGAAAAGTTACACTAGAAACATAATCAGGTTCTCTTGTGCAAAAATCTTGTTGACCAGTGTTATCATTCGGAAATAAATAAAATGAGGTTTTGTTAAATTTGCACCGATAGATGGCAGCATCTATCATTGAATCGTTCAGTTTAATTATTAGGAGATTATACTCAAATTTTTACTCCTGTCTACTTCTTGATTACTTCAATTATATTTTTTTGTTTCATATGTTGATTAATATAGTAAATGTGTATTTTTATGTCTATTCCAACCAATTGGTTAGCAACAAGCCAATATTATAATGGAGTACCACATTTTCATTTTTCACTCACAACCAACACTACCATCATTCACATTTATCTTTTAATTATTGTAATTTCCAATCTATTGGGTACCATCAAAAACCCAATATGAAATTGGAATTTCATCTCACATTTCTCTTTGTATTTTATCTCACTTTATTTATATATATATCATCATTTTCACTCTTTTTCAAACTATATTTTTTACCACTTTTCTCTGAACTCACTAATTCTAGTGTTTTCAAAGAGGGGAAATATATCGTAAAATATATATTATTTGATTATTGACCCACACACACGGTTTAGATATTTAAATATATATATATGAAAATATGAATTTCAGCATAAAATACAATATATTAAATTTACATATCCGCACACTCTATCTAATAACACCAAGCATATATATATACACAAAACTCTATTCAAAATGTATTTTTTTCACACAAAGTTATAATTTA